TACTACTGCTGTTTACACTAATTGGTATACAAATTGTTCCCACTCTATACTATTACACTCTATGCTGTTTTCTACTACTATCTACATTACTAATACTGTTTTTTTCACTGCGTTCTACTACTCTGCTGTTACTAAAATTTGGAAATACTACTGCTGTTACCATACTATTTTATTACTACACAACTGCGTTACTACTAACTTTAGTCTACTACTGCTGTTTACTAAACGTTGCTACTATACTGCTTTTTTCTACTACTTTTTGTACTCAAATGTTGTTCCCATACTCCTATTATTACTACTACACTGCTGTTACTAACTACTCTACACTTTACTACTATACTGCTGTTACTACTACTGTTGCTACTACTACTGCTGTTACTACTACTATTGGTACTACTACTGCTGTTACTACTACTACTACTACTACTATTACTACTACTACTGCTGTTACTACTACTATTGCTACTACTACTGCTGTTACTACTACTATTGCTACTACTACTGTTGTTACTACTACTATTGGTACTACTACTGCTGTTACTACTACTACTACTACTACTACTACTATTACTACTACTACTGCTGTTAACAAATTTACTATTGCTACTACTACTGCTGTTACTACTACTATTGCTGCTACTACTGCTGTTAGTACTACTATTGGTACTACTACTGCTGTTACCACTACTACTACTATTACTACTACTACTGGTGTCCTCAGCTCGTCATAATGGTGGAGTCTACAATAAAGTCACCACTACATCAATCACCATAAAATAAAGCACTCTGTGTTTTTTATCTGCTGCCTCTGCTTCTAGTCACACTTACTTAGTCAATAAAGAAGAAACAATATGCTGCATTTTTATTTAGGTGAAGGGCTCTTGATTTAGGGAATTGGATCTGTGCTCCGGTTCCCTGAATTAAGCCTGAATACCTTCCACATCCCCCCCCCACAGGCACTGCATAATCCTACGGGTTTAGCTCTCCCCCTTGATTATTATAATACTTTTATTTACGTCCTTACTGAGGAGAGAATCATCTCGCATTCTTCAGACTGTCTATGACCCTTGTGGGTTTATCGTTTCCCTATTTATAATAAAATAATGTGGAAATATCGTGTGTACACTTAATAAAGGGACTCAGCTTACAACAGAAGGAATCGAGTTCAATACCCAGGGCGAGACGAAGTGCATGAGTAACATCAACTTACATCTAGGAACTAGTGGACTGTTGTATGCTGCCTCCTTGGACAGCTCAGAAGGAACTAGGCGAAAATAACCACAAAACTTATGCTGTCAAGGGTTAATAGGCCACAAATTTTTTTTTTTTAAGGTTCCTTGACGCTGGTGAAGGATTCTTGATCTTTGGAATTGGATCTGTGCTCCGGTTCCCTGAATTAAGTCTGAATACCTTCCATCACCCCACCCCCTTCCCCACAGGCGCTGTATAATCCTACGGGGTTAGCGCTTCCTTTTTTTTTTTTTTTTTTTTGGCTAATCTGAACGGCCGGCACACCTGCTTCACGTCATCTTCCAGATGTTGGTCAGGTCATTATCTCTCCATCTGCTTAACTAGGAGGTTCGGCATACATTCGCTTATTTCAACTCCAACCAGGTAGGTGAGCGCTGACGTTCGGAAAAGTATCCGAATCCGGAGTCCAGACGAAAGGGTTTATACGGTTCCTCGAGCTGTCAAGGCCCTTACAACCCAGCAACAGTAAGGCTGGTGATACTTGTATTGTGTGTTGTGCAAATATTTTTGATTAATAGGCTGAAACCTGACTCGTACTGGACCTGGTAGACTCCTTGTGATGGTGAGTACTGTTGTAGTAGCCAATCAGAGACACAATGAAGGTAAACCACACCTGACTGTGCGGCCAGAGTCGTTAGTTTACTGTGCACAGTAGGTCATACTGTTTACTGTCATGCTGGTTTACTGTATACCAGTATGTCATACTGTAAGCAGTTAGTTCACTGTGCACCAGCATGTCATGGAGTCCTGTGGCCTGGCTGGCAACGCTCTCCCTTCACACACTGAGTGTCTGGGTTCGATTCCCAGGAGGGGTGCAAACATTTGGACGCGTTTCCTTACACCTGTTGTCCCCATTCACCTAGGTAGTAGGTACCTGGGTATTAGTCGACTGGTGTGGGCCGCATCCTGGGGGACAAGATTGAAGATCCGAATAGAAATAAGACAGTCCTCTATGACGCACTGCCTTGTGTTATACTGGGTGTCTAACCCTCCGGGGTTAAAAATCCGAACAGTCTTATCTTACTTGTTAGTTTACTGTACACCAGCACAATTCCCGGTGGCCTGGTGGCTAAAGCTCCCGCTTCACACACGGAGGGCCCGGGTTCGATTCCCGGCGGGTGGAAACATTTCGACACGTTTCCTTACACCTGTTGTCCTGTTCACCTAGCAGCAAATAGGTACCTGGGTGTTAGTCGACTGGTGTGGGTCGCATCCTGGGGGACAAGATTAAGGACCCCAACGGAAATAAGTTAGACAGTCCTCGATGACGCACTGACTTTCTTGGGTTATCCTGGGTGGCTAACCCTCCGGGGTTAAAAATCCGAACGAAATCTTATCTTATCTTATCTTAAAGACGAAATATTAAAAACTTTAGTTACCCTTTTATCGCCTGATTCGTCAAAGAAAACTTAATAATTGTCAGGCAAACTTACTTAAAACTTATTTGTTTAAATAATAATCGTTTCTCAAACAAAAAGAAATGTCATTATTGCATCATACACATAAGTGATAGAGAATATTATAACGATTGTATTAATAGGATAACAGCTGTAAGCCCGTAGGGGTTCATATTTCAGAATGAAGTTTATTCTAACCTATCTTCTCTTCACGTGAGATATATATTATATATATATATATATATATATATATATATATATATATATATATATATATAAAATATAATATATATATATAATAATGTCGTGCCGAATAGGTAAAACTTGCTATTATGGCTTAAATAGCAACACTCTTCTTGCCGAATAAGACAAGCGAAATTCTGTGTATGCAATAATTTCGCAAAAATTCTGAAGCGAATGAAAAAAATATATTTCATTGTTTGTTTATTATTAAATTATTGTAAACTTATCTAAAATATATTTAGTTGGATTAGGCTAAATTAAATTGCGCTTGTTATAATAAGGTTAGGTAAGTTTTCTAAGGTTCTTTTGATACAAAATTATTATTTTTTATATTAACATAAATGAAAAAATATATCTTTAAACGTATAAGAGAAAATTTTAGAAAGGATTTAATTTTAAATGAGTTCTCATCGATACCATGCCCAGCCCTTCTAGGGTAGGGTAGGTGCCCGAGCCCGAGCCTTTAGCTCATAAGACTGTCATTCCCATTAGCCCCCTTGGGGCGGGGATGGCAGACCAGAGAGGCCTAGCTTGTGGCTAGGCCTGGGGACAGTTGGTCCCAAAGATGAGGAGGTACTTGTGCCTCCTCCCATGGGAGACTTAGGTCTCAGACACTCCCTAAAGAGGGAGCCAAGGCCGGGCCACCACTTGGAAAAGGCCCGGGCCGGGAGAATACCGGCTAATCTTTAATAATAATAATAATAATAATGAGTTCTTTTTAATTGACCAGTTTTACCTATTCGGCACGACATATATATCTATCTCAGAGTATATATATTGTGAGTTTAAATAACAAAAAAGGCACAATACTGTGACTGGAACGATACACAAATAACCCGCACATAAAAGAGAGAAGCTTACGACGACGTTTCGGTCAGACTTGGACCATTTACAAAGTCACACTAACCAGAAGTGGAGCAGGACGGCTATATATAGGCAGGAAGAGGTGGTAGTAGTAGTAGTAGTAGTAATAGTAGTACAAGAATGGTATATAATACCGACAAGATGAAATTAAGACACATGCGCAACACCCGGGCATCCCTATCGTAGACGTTTTGCCATCCAGCCAGCCACTGGATGGTGAAACGTCCACAACAAAGACAACCAGACGCCTCACATGTGTCTTAATTTCATCAGTAGTTGTAGTAGTAGTAGAAGAGGTAGTACTACTGGTAGAAGTGGGAAATAAGGAGGACGAGCCAGTCAAATACAAAGGAAGAGCTAGGTGCCCACTGAGGGAGAGCAAGCGCACATAGGTGCGTGAAAGGGGAAGTGGTGAAATAAATGAAGAAGGAACAGAAACACGAGACAGAAGAGAGAAAGACAACCCAGAGGAGAAAAGGAAAGAGGAAAGGGGAAGAGGGAGAAGAAGAAAAAGAAAAAGAAAAAAAAAAACAGAAAAAATGAGGAGTCAGGTTAAGTCACGGGTGTTCTGAAGTTTGGAGCATTTTACAATGTAGTGGGAGAGGAAGGCATCTACAGAGACGAAGCCAGGGCTAAGATTCATACAACAGTCGCCGTCTAGTTGAATCCTCCCTAATACACAACTTGTATGAATCTTAGTCCTGGCTTCGTCTCTGTAGATGCCTTCCTCTCCCACTACATTGTAAAATGCTCCAAACTTCAGAACACCCGTGACTTAACCTGACTCCTCATTTTTTCTGTTTTTTTTTTCTTTTTCTTTTTCTTCTTCTCCCTCTTCTCCTTTCCTCTTTCCTTTTTCTCCTCTGGGTTGTCTTTCTCTCTTCTGTCTCGTGTTTCTGTTCCTTCTTCATTTATTTCACCACTTTCCCTTTCACACACCTATGTGCGCTTGCTCTCCCTCAGTGGGCACCTAGCTCTCTTGCAGTGCTCCCCTTCCTTTGTATTTGACTGGCTCGTCCTCCTTATTTCCCACTTCTACCAGTAGTACTACCTCTTCTACTACTACTACTACTACAACTACTGATTAAATTAAGACACATGTGCAGCGTCTGGTTGTCTTTGTTGTGGACGTTTCGCAATCCAGTGGCTGGTTGGATGGCGAAATGTCTACGATAGGGATGCCCGGGTGTTGCACATGTGTCTTAATTTCATCTTGTCGGTATTATATACCATTCTTGTACTACTACTACTACTACCACCTCTTCCTGCCTATATATAGCCGTCCTGCTCCACTTCTGGTTAGTGTGACTTTGTAAATGGTCCAAGTCGGACCGAAACGTCGTCGTAAGCAGGGCCAGATTACCGCATAGGCAAACTAGGCATTTGCCTAGGGCCCCGCGCATTTGGGGGCCCCGCACATTTGGGGGCCCCGCGGTCCAAGGGGTTCAGGGGCTCATCCAAGACTGCGCACATGGTGCAAGTGCAAAGGGGTCCCTACCTAAAAAGTTCAAGTGTTTGGAGAGTAAAATTTATTTTTAAAAATTAATCAAAACAAAAATAATGAAATAAAATAAAATAAAAATAAATAAACCTAACCATAGATGGCAACACTCAACACGCCTTTGTTTACATCAGAACAGCTGTGTTTTCCGGCTAATGGGTGAGTATGGGAGATTCCTCTCCAATTTTCTGTAGTAAATTACACGTTATCTAGACTTGTACTGTGACAAATTAACTGAAGTGTTGTTGATGGACATTGATGTGTAATGGATAAATGTTTGTTTTCGCCTCTAAATGTTAAGGGAGGTACCTGATAGGGTTACTTGACCAGTAAAGACGCATGGACCAGTAAAGACGCATTTTTGGTAAAAATACTATAAAGAAAAACCTAAAAACGCAAACTGACTTCCGTTTGTAGGTTTTAAAGCACTTTGTCCTGTCTTTTTAAGGTCTTTATCATTTCAATAACAGATCTCAATTGATTGATGATCTACATCAACATTCCTTCGCAAATGCCTTAGTTTTTCAGTTTGCGCGGGAAGTGATGTAGAACATCAATTAATTTATACTGATTTCCCACGAAACACATAAGCCACATCAGGAAAATCGTTGGTTGGGTGTGAAACTGAAAATTGTCCCTGCATTCTTTAATTCTCACGTCCCTTATCTATGGTGGTTAAGCCATATATCATCAAAACATTTATGATTAGCTTAGGTTATGGAAAATGGTAATATTAAATCACCATTGTGCAATTTTTCTAGGACTCAGAGGATTTCTTTTAAGTAAATTGGAGATCAAGGGGAGAATTAGTAAAACTTTCGTGCCCAAATCACAAAACTAATTCTATGGTAAAAGTTCTGTATATGACCTCCTTTCTGGTAACGTTTTGAATTTTTAGATGCGCAGCCAAAGGAAAGGGGGGATGACAAGGGGCCATATCCCCCCAATTAACAGAAAAAAAAAAAAATTAATAATAATTGATAATGAAAAAATTTGTCTTTGCTGATTTACAGACAGTGATACATCCTCATTATGGCATCTCGTGAACGTGATGTTGGAACGTTCTTATGCGAGGTGGGTCACAGAAAAAAAGAGAAAATTCAATTAAGAAACAGAAAAGAAAGATTTGGGTAGGAAAGCTGCAGAAAGATCAAAGACATGCCACAGAAAAAACATGTTCTGATGTTACCCAGTACAGTTGCATCTGCAATACGTCAGAATATACAGGAAGCCCTCCCTCCATTATTTCTAGCCAGAATCTATTCTTTGTGTCTCCTTCTCAATTGTCCTTACGGACATTTCAGCCACAGGATTTGCTTAAAAGATCTTGCCTCATGGCAAATGTATCCCAGATTCTCTACGTAATTGCTTTAAGGCTGAAACTTCAGTCAAACTTGAACATTGACTTTAGGAAATCAGAAGGATTTTGATGATGGAGTCGTCGTTGTTATTAAAGTCAATATATGTTTTATAGGAAGCTTGCAAATTCAGAAACTATGTGAATAGTGCTTGGATGGTATACTCGGAAAGCTCAGGGAAAAGTGTACGTTCCGCATG